TCCGGGGTCAAGCATTCTCGCGCCTCCCTCAGGCGGCCAAGTAGCTGGGATTACAGGGCATGCGCAACGCCGATGCCCAGGCGTATTTTTTGAGGCGTGTTTTTGTTTGGAGATGGAGTCTCGTCAGGTCGGCCCAGGCTGGGAGGCAGAGCGCGGAGCGCGCGAGCGAGAGCGCCGCCTCCCAGGTTCACGCCATTCTCCTGCCTCAGCCTCCCAAGTAGCTGGGACTACAGGCGCCCGCCACCACGCCTGGCTAATTTTTTGCATTTTTAGTAGAGACAGGGTTTCATCATGTTAGCCAGGCTGGTGTCAAACTCCTGACCTCAAGTGATCCACCCACCTCAGTCTTCCAAAGTGCTGGGATTACAGGTGTGAGCCACCACACCCGGCCAAAATGTAGCATAATTTTGTTTTTTGTTTCACCATGTTGGCCAGGCTGGTCTTGAACTCCTGACCTCAAGTGATCCACCCACCTCGGCCTCCCAAAGTGCTGAGATTACAGGCGTGAGCCACCACACCCAGCCAAAATGTTTTGTCTTAGATCTCATAATTTCATCTTAACCTTTTGCTGTTGCTTTTTAAATTTGGTAATTCCCCTTTAATAATTCTTATTCATGAAGATGAAAGAAACTAGTCATTCTTTCCCCTCCTGAATTATACAAGATAAAGATTTCATTACCTCCATTGTCAGCTGTCGTTGGGCATCTTTGGAAGCTTGCAGGTGAAGTTTTAGTTCTTCCTTCTCAATCACATGCTAACAACACATTAAAAAAGACATGTGAAGCCTTTCCAAGTAAAATATAGTTACTTTCTTTTTCTTTTTTTTTGAGACAGAGTCTCGCTCTGTCACCCAGGCTGGAGTGCAGTGGTGTGATCTCGGCTTACTGCAAGCTCCGCTGCCTCCCAGGTTCACGCCATTGTCTTGCCTCAGCCTCCCAAGAAGCTGGGACTACAGGCGCCCATCACCATGCCTGGCTAATTTCTTTCTATTTTTAGTAGAGACGGGGTTTCACCGTGTTCACCAGGATGGTCTCGATCTCCTGACCTTGTGATCCGCCTGCCTCGGCCTCCCAAAGTGCTGGGATTATAGGCGTGAGCCACCGCACCTGGCTAAATATAGCTATTTTCTTTCTTATAAAGACATGTGAAGAATTTCTCTCTAGGATATCATCTTAGAGCCTATAAAAAGCTAACTTTTCAAAAGCTAAATAAGATGGGCATTCAAATACAAAGCCTATGAAGGTGTTCAGAGGACAATGGGCATGAGTCAATAATTTATACCACTTTCTGAGGAAGTGCTAACCCCATTTTACAAAGAGAAATAGTGACTTGAAAGTACTTATTCATGATATATTGTATGACATAAAGATGATTAAAACAGCAATCAGGGCATTTTAAAAGGGCAGGGATCATGTTTATTTTGCTTACTATATCTAGCACTTAGTATGGTGTAAGATACTATGTCAGTGCTTAACAAATATCTGTTGAATGAATGAATAAACCTACTTCTTTAAGTTTATGCTGAAGGTCTACAATCTGCGACAAAAGAGAGGAAATCTCTTCTTGGTATCGAATCAGCTCATCACTCTTCCCTGACAATTCTTCAGTCATTCTGGACATCTGAGCATTTGTTTCACCTTGGAAGCAAAAAATATATTTTTTTAATTAATATAAATGCAGAGAAGGAGTTGGCAAACTATGACTTGTGAGCTAAATCTTGTTTTATAACAAGCACTGAACTGTTGTGAATAGATTTTTCTTTAACATAAAAAAAAAAAAAAAATCCAGAGAAACCAATAGAGAAAAATAAAGGTTCTTCTGAAATAGGCTAATGCTGGGAATCGAATAGGAGTCAATGAAGCTAAAAAGAGAGATGACTTATAAAGGCAAGCAGGCTAAAGGTTTTGCTTCAATCCTTTTCTTTACGAAAACGATATTTGCTCAATTTTTTTCTTTATGGAGGAAAGAGGGCTGAAAGGAGAGCAAGTGCAAAGAGATAATCTCATTCATTTCTTTGAGAACTCTTTAGGGACATAAAATCCCACAAGCAATGAAAATTCATCTTAACAAATCTAACAAAGGAACATTTCCAGAATGGAACAGTCACAATCTATGACAGAATGTGATAAAGCTATGGAAATGCTTCTGTAGGAGACAGACTTTCAGGCATACCCCTTTCAGGGATACATGGCAAACTGAGTAAAGCCTCTAGAGCAATTTTAGCCTGGCCTTCTTACATGCACATAAAATAGAGCCTTTAAAATTCCACTAGGAATTTATTCACTCTCTATTTCATATGAAAAATTTGATATGTAAATACAAGCAGAAAAGCTACTTCTCAGTGTCATATAAAGCTATTTAAAAATTGACAGACAGCCTCTAACATTTCAAAGGATGGCAATACGGAGGCAGGAGATCTGGATCTGAGAGCTCTTGGGCAAGTCATTTCCTGTATTTTAAGGTGTAAAAGGAGGATAGTGGATTCATGGTGGAGGAGAAAATTCAATTTATATTCCTTCTGGTTCTCTAATATTCTGCTATTCTAAGATATCACATTTTGAAGCCCATAGCCCAAATGAATTGATGATATTATCTATCTTACATTGCTTTCAACGTAAAAGGCTATATACAGTAGTCCCCTCTTATCTGTGGGGGATACATTCCAGGACCAGCAGTGGATACCTGAAACCACAGATAGTACTGAACTCTACACTATATATGTGTTTTCCTAGAAATAAATAACTATGATAAAGCTTAATTTATAAATTAGGCACAGTAAGAGGTTAATAACTAGTAATAAAACAATTATAACAATATTCCAGCACCCTTTGGGGCCATTACTAAGTATAATAAGGGTTACCTGAACACAAGCACTGCAATATTGCGATAATTGACCTGGTAACTGACGGCTACTAAGAGATGGTTACTAAGTGACTGACAGGCAGGTAGTATATACGGCGTGGAGATGTTGGACAAATGGATGATTCATATCCTGGGAAGTATGGACTAGGATGGCACAACATTTCATCATGCTACTCAGAATGGCTCACGATTTAAAACTCATGAATTGTTTATTTCTGGAATGTCTGATTTAATATTTTCAGACTGCAGTCCGGGCCATGGTTAATGGAAACGATGAGAAGTAAAACTGCAGGTAAGGGATGACTGTTGTATTTACGGAGAAATTAAATATCTTTCTCCAGTGAAGCCAATCTTTTTCCAACTGATGTTTTAAAAAATTAGTTAACATTACCTCAAACTAAAACATACTCCTTTAAAGAAACATAACTCGCACTTTATACTCATTGATTGATAGGTTTTATGCCATCATTTAAGCCCTGGCTCTGCCACTTATCAGTTTTCTGACTTTGGCAAATCATCTTCCTCTATAGGACTATTTCCTCGTCAACAACATGAGAGCTTTGGTTCCTTTCACTCTAACATGCTATAACTTACTTATGAAACATAGGTCTGTAATGATAACTGCAATTTGAAACAAATATATTTCTTAAAAATACATATGGTATCTTATTTAGGGTTGTAGGCTCAATGTGATATTCCAAGATTTTCAGTAACCATTTAAAATTGTTTCTTGAGATGCTTCTACTGAAACCAGTGATCTAACTTCTGAGGTGGAGATACCCTACCAAAGAATTGTCCAAAAGGTACAAAAGAGAGTGTGTTAATACTCACGAAGTTCTTTAACACAGTCGCTGACAAGTTGTTGTTCCTTTTCTTCATAGGTAACAGTTTCTGTCTTTATGTGACAAGCCTTCAAGAAAAAAAATCAGTATGTGACAATACCTCCTACTGATTTTACAGAAATAACTACAAAAACCTTTAATTCTCATTTGAAGACTAAATTTCATCACTTACAAAGGAAAAAACCCAACAACCTGTTCATACATCTCTACCTGGCTAATCCCTGGCCTTGGCTAAAATGATCCTTGCTTAAGTAGGACTTCCTCGATGCCCATACTATACAAGTTCACAGAATCTTATAAATTTCTGACATAGCTCTTATCACAGTTGTAACTACTTAGTTACTTGTGTAAACTCCACAAGATACATTTTCTATCCTGTGACTTTCACTATTGTACTGTCAACCTAACCACTTTTCAGTGGGATATAAGAACAATGGAAGGCAAGGCAAATACAGCTCCTTGTCCACAATGCTCTAATTGGAGTGCCAATAGCAAATCCTTACTTATGCCGTATTTCACCTCAATAGTACCTGGACGTGAACTTTATAGCCTTTAAAGTAAAGGAAAATGGGAATTAGGTTGAACGTACCTTGGATCGAAGAGCCATATTCTCTTCTTCCAGTTCCTTGAGCTTTTCTTGCAGCATTTCCAACTGCAGCAACCCTTGAGATAAGCTAAAGGACTCATTGAACCGAAGAGGTGTAGAACAGCTGGAATCAGTTTCACTTTCTTCAGAGGCAATGGAGACAATTCGAAGTAACTCATCTTTCTTGGATAGCTCATGCTGCAGCTGATTAACCTGTCCATATAAAATGCTTGATTTTCATGTTCTTTATTTTGCATTATTTACAGCAATATAGCTTCTAATTCATGGAACAATTATTTTTCATCATAAAACAAAATCACAAAATCAGCTGCTCGGTTTTACTGACTAATGCAACAAGTACTAAAAAGAGAGTAATAAACCCCAGATATCTCCTAAGTTACAATTTTAGAGCATTAGTTCAATAGTATAGCTTTTTTTCTACCCTAGGTGAGAAGAAAAGCCAATTTTCATATTGTATATATGATAGGAATATAGGAGAAAAATTCACCTAAGATAATAATACAGTCATAGTTGAAAACACGACAAAACTGAAAAACCTTCAAAGTATCAGAATAGATCCCTACTTCAAATTGTTATCATAAGGGCTTGTAATTTTAAGATGTATATCACTGTGCATGTCTTCCTAGTACTGATTTTAGTTCTAGGAACAAATAGTTTCAATCTAAAGGCTCGAATGTTATAATCCATAATGCATTCATAAAATGCAAATGAAACCAGATAAAAATAACAAGTTACAGAAAATTTGAAATGTAACCATTCGAGTTAATAATAAATCAGTTCTTACTATAGAGGTTTATTGCTATGGAATAAATATATTTTCAAAGTTTCTTTTTCCTTTCTTCCTTTGTTTGATTTTTGAATAAAGATGCCAAGATATTTGGGTAACTATTTTTTTAAAATAAATTTCAGATAAGATCACACACAAAGTCTACACAAAAGGGTATGGACAATTTTAATATCTAAGCAGGGTGCCACAGGTATTACAGATACTTAACATAGACTTTAAGTTGACCAAGGTAGTCATGTGAGTTCTCCTCTGTACAATTAACATTTAATTTCTCTACTGATTAGTTTAATGGACACCAACAAACTCAACAAGTACTGGTGCTATTTATCTATTGCCATCGTCTCAGGGACACCTAGGAAAATAAATTTTCAACTGCATAAAACCTAATTATTTCATGCTGCAGATATTTGATCAAAGGCTTACTTGATCAAAGGCTTGTCCCAATTGCTCCTCCAGGGATTCATTCTGCTCAGATAAGACATGGTTCCGCTTTAAGAGAGCTTGTCCAATTCGAGCAGCGAGTTCCAGATCACGATCTCTCTGTTAAAATACCAAATACACCTTTTCTTTGAGTATAAACAAGATTACATGGCAGTTCAGAAATGCTGTGGTCAGTTTTGGTAAAATCAAAAGCAATGTTCTAAAAAGCATCAAGATTCATTTTAATGTCCGGATACCACAAATAAACACAGGCTCTGGCACACAGGTAGTGCTTTAAACGTTGGTCAAATGGATGACCATCACTGTTCTAAATGAAACAGGACATCCCTTTTCTTGATATCAGGTGAGATTTATTGATCATCCTAGTAAATTAAGAGTCTAGCAACCCAAACTTTAAACTTACAATTTTTGGGAATTGGAAAATGAACATAGTCTTTAAAAATGAGGATGGGGTCTGGACAGTAAAAGCTCAACAAATATTTGTTGAATGCAATTGTGTATCAAGCATGGTAATGATACAGAATTAGGTATTTAAGATACAGATCAGGTGGGTATGTAAAAAAAGAGTTCCATTTAGGGCAAAGCTATGTGCATTCAGCAGCTTAGAGGAAAGTGCAGCCAAGAGCTCTGTTGCCAACTGGTTCAAGAGTGATGATATGAAATAAAATAGGAGGTAAAAGACTGCAAATTTTGAGGCCACAGGATTCTGCCTAGAGTATAGAGAAGAAAGAAGTCTAAAGAAGCTGGTGGTAATCATGCAGGGAGTCTGTAGAAAAGTCAAGCAATAGGCTTCCACCCAGAGTTATTATTTCTGGACAGATAGTGATATTTGGCAAGGGCATCGGAATTCCATCTGCGTGGTAGTGGTGAAGACTGTATTCTGTAGGAGAGAAAACTGTCAATATACATCTCACTGCCTTGTATGTGATCTACTTACAGTAATTATTATATAAATAAAATTAAGCTTCTATCCTTTCTCTCCATAGGCATATGAAAATTGAGGGATTATCTCCACATTTTTAAGGCTCGTTTTAAATATACACTAAGCAGCATACATAGAAATCATTCTGGAGAGCTGGGGGTAGGGGGAGAAGGATATGTTAGAGAAAGACTGTCTTCAATAAGATCAACTGAAACAGGTACAAAGGGAGACCTCTACTGATTGCCAACTAGAGGATATACACTATATATCAAAAATGCCATAGACAAAGTGAGCTCAAATCATAGCCCAAACTAAAAGTAAAAAGGGGAGATATTCCAAACCGTAGGTATTGATTTGCAATGATAATGATACTGCTTTCTGAATGAGCAGCTCTGCTGTAGGGTAAGTAACAGCAGGGGTTATTTTAAAATGATTATTTTTTTTTAAAGATTAATGCTTTTCTAGGAAGGGGAGGCCAGCCAACACCATTAAATAAATAATTAACTATAAATCCTCTATAGCATCATCACAATAATAAACTTCAGGAAACATTCTACTTTGAAATGTCAGTTGTTCCAGTAGTAACAACCTTATACAAAATAAACCAGAGCACATACAACATTTTCCATTTGATGTGCAAATTTGATCCTCAAGTTTTACCTTTTTGTACTGGAGAAAGAAAAGATATTCCTACCTCTGCCAGGAGATGTGTAACCATGTCGATGTCATTGTAAGTTTTGGTCATCTGCTCCACCCTGTCTGTGCCTAGAACTAATATAGTTAAAAACAACTATTTATAGGCTTTAGCAATAATGGAAAAATTTAAATATTAATAAGAATTGAGAGATAACAACAACAAAAACCTCAGGTTTTTACAAAAAGTCATTCAGGAGAATAAAAATATATGTGAAAAAAAGAAATGTTTCATGTATTAGACACTCAAGAAATAGTCCAATCATTACAAACAAAGTGCATATCATACAATAATTAAGAAAGTATCAAATGATCATAAGGCAGTCACATCTTGACTATCTCCTACTTCCCTGGTAAGACAAGAAGTTTGGGACACTCACTTATGAGAATGATGGCTGGGAGAATGGATTGTTACTGATAGATTTACAGTCTAATCTAAATTAAAGTTACTAACGGGTATTAGTGAGGGGTTATGCTGTCACAAAGGAATTTAATTGGAATTCTGCTGTGATTATCTTAACCATCTATGATCATCTACCACATGAGCTAATGTAAACAAGGTACAGGACTTGTAGGACTTTTTCTGGTTCTGTTATGAACCATTATTCCTTTAAGCTTAATTAAAAACCCTTTATCTGTATAAAAATCTTTCTCCCATCCAGGTCTCAGCTATAAAATAAATTGCATGCTACATTATCAGTTGTATAATTCAAGCCCTGTATTTCTACACTTCACAAATTCAGGAATTGTCAATATACCTGGATAATTTAGTTCAAAAGAGAAGGGCAAATATGACTCCAGTGATTCCAGTCACACTAAACAGTATCTTAAAGTTAATAATGCATAACAAAAGAGGGCTCTTTTGACTTTGAACATGATATGTTACTGCAGAACATAAATCTGTGTTTGACTTAGACTGCTTTTATTACAACTAGTTTGCCTTGAAGTGTGAAAAGGACAGGGGCTTTGGAGTAGAAAAGCTGAATTCATAAATTTTAGGGAGCTGGAACAAGTCATTTAACCCTTCTGAGATTCAGATAATAAATATGGAGGCGATAACACATCTCATGAGGTTATTAAGAAGATCAAATATGATAATCTACTGAGCAATAAATTATTCGGTAAACTGCTAAGTATCATATAACTGTTTATAATTACTACTCCTAAACAGAACTGGTAGGTATGAAATGATCCTGACTTTATATTCTTTGAGTTGGCAGTAATTCGTAGTTCCATAGTCCCATCTTAACACTTTAGGGTATCCAAAAGACTGAGTATGAAGGGATATCATTAGATATGTTTTACTTTTATCTGAGCTTTTTATTTTCTCCCTAGCACCACTGACTAAAATGAATCTGGGAATTACCTATAGCTTAATTATTAATAACAGCCTTATTCCTAGTTAAAAGTAAAACAAAGTGCTGGCTTGATGGTAATGAGGAGATAACTAAAAAAGATTTAAACTGAAAGTATAAAAACTTTTCTTAAAACCTAGAAATAAACCTTTGTACTCCAAAAGAATTTATATTTACAAATAGAGAAACTAACACAATGATTTTGCCACAGTGATAAGGGAAACAGACTTTTGGGCCTAAGGAATAGACACAGTATAATTTGGTAGCATAGCGGGAACAAAGGATTAAATAATTAAGGCAAATACTTACAGTGAATGGTCTCCTCTACTTCTGGTTTCAATAACAAAATTAGGAGAAAAATATAAAATCAACATATCCATGCTCTAAACTAATTACAGAAAACCAGACAATGGTTGTAAACCCAAATGTAGTATAGAGCAATGGTTCTTAACTCCAGATTCTGATTTAATTAATTTCAGGGAGCCCTATGGCGCTGGTAGTATGTAGAAGATTCCCAGGTGTTGAAAATGACATGGAGCCAGGAATTAAAATCACCAATCTAGGGTTAACACCCAAAGCAAAAATCAGGCATCCTATAGACTCAGTTAAAACCAGTTTTTATACAACCAGTTTAAAAAACACATGACATGATTGACCAGAGTTAAAGATGAAGTGGCAGATTTAACTTGGAGTAAGACTAGTAAGTTAAGGATATAAAAAACAACTGTGAACCACAAGTCATATATGATGAAAGGGGAATAAAAAAATGAAGGACACAGTAACACAGTAAAGAAATGTTTAGAATAAAATATGTTTTAGTAAGGAGGAATGAAAATATATTTCCTATAAATGCTTACCATCTGTTACAGCATAAAAATTTCAGCATAAAGCTGAACCTTAAGAAGTTATCTAGTTTAATGATCTTACTTTCCTGTATGAGGAATCTTCTCTGAGAGAAATTATGTGGCACATTCAAGACCGCGAAGAAAGTTATTAGTGGCAAAGCTAGGATTTTACTATGGAGATGATGAGATGATAATAACGCTCATCTCACAAGGTCATTAGAAAAAACTCAGATGATTTAAGAGTCCAGTAATGAGCTCTTTCCACTTTGCTGCTGTTTCTGCCGCAGCCCCACTAAGAACATAAAAGAGTCCTTGTCGAATGAAATACCAGCATATACATCTGTGAATGCATGTTATATAATAAAACAGCATAGATCCCAATTTTGCTTTTTAAAGTGTGAGCATATCTATAAATATCTATATTGAAGAGAGCCTGGAAGGATATACATTAAAATGTTAATGTAGTTATCTCTGGGTAAGGATTATGGCTGATCTGTTTTCTTTTCAGTGTTTTGCCAATTTTCCATAAAGAACAAATGTTATCTTTCCAAACAGAAAAAAACCCAGAAAACAAAAATCAAAAAAAAAAACTCCACAAAAACCCAGCAACCCTTGTTAAAAAGTTTCAAAAAGCAAAAATGAACTTTAAAATGCCTAAGTATTTGTTATGGCAAAGAAGTTATATAGTGCAATCAGAATTTTCAAATTCTTACATTGTATGCGCAGCCTAGATACTACCAACTCACAAAAGCTGGGCCTCTTCAATCGCACAGAAAGATGTCAGGCACAAAACAGAAAGGAACACAATGGATTTTTCTCTCTGCAGTGGAATCAGTTTTGTCTTCTCTTCCTTAACACAACACTCCTGATAAAGACATGCTGCTTGGAACGATTCCAAAAGTACTCAGGGCAAAACTCTTAAGTGTTTAATGTCTTGGCTTTTAGACATTGTAATTAAATGCTTCAAAAACCACAGACTAGTTCTTCATCATAGTTCTGTAACCAAGACTGTAGAGATAGCCAAGCAGGTTGTCTTTGTTAAAATCAATCCTATCAAAACATATTTTCCCTTCAGTTTTCAGTTGTTGAAAATATGTTAAATGATACAGAAATTAGCAACGCTTATTTCCAGACATGCACTTTCCTAACTCTCTAAAAAAGTATTTATACATCAGGGAGATGATAGATATTTTTACAGAACAATTTTGCAACTTGTTTCCAGAGGTTGTTAATTAATGTGCAATATTTTTGGTGTAATATTTGGAGAATCTAATGTTCCTGAAAATATGGGGTGGGAGTTTAACATACATAAGCACTTCACTAATCCTTACTTTATGTTCTAGCCCTGCATAATTTCACAGTAACCGGCTCAATCTCAGATTATTTTCAGGATGGGAAACACCGTTGATAATCCATTCTAGTATCTGCCATTTACATGAGATGGTGCTTGATAGTTCTCTCATATGTCCCTTTTCACGATCTAAAGTTTTTACCCCAATTATTGAATTCCAAAAAGAATTCTAATCCTGCAGCACTCTCCAACGTTCTCACACCAAAACCAACAAAACCAACAACAAAAAAATAGAAATGAAACACAAACAGTGCCCACATGGCATAGTAAAAGCTACAATAGCTCCTGACAACTACAGACCGGTCCTGAGGTTTTAACCCTAAAGAAGCGACCACAGCCATTGCTGCTACGATACAGCAAACATTTCTGCCTTCAAAATGACTGAGAGAAACTGATGATACACACCATCTAGGGCAGTCTTTCTCAACAGGATTCCAGGGCAGAATCAGGCCCTACAGACCATTTGAATGACAATTTTCTCAATTCTCCCAAGGACTGTACAAAGCTAGTACCTGATGCATGGATGATAAGGCAATCCATTGTATAAACGCTAAGTGTCTTAGAGTATATAGCTTAATTCTCTTGTGGAACCGAAGGAGAGAGTTTATCTAGGGGAAAAATAAATCTGCTAACCTCTATGACTGGGCTTATGGTTAACACTTCCTGAACTTCATCTGTCATACGTCCTCTTCTGCCAGTACAGGTTAATAATTTTTGAGGGCAGAGCCTGAGGAAAAGTATACCTACTAACTGGAAGTAATAACTTCTATGACCGTATTTGTCTGCAAAATTATACACTCTCCCCAATTCCTTAATTCTCCTATTAATGTCACTGTGAACTGGCCATTTACTTTGGTTGGCAATGCTTTGTATCAGTGGTTCTCAAACTTGAGTGTGCATCAGTATCACCAGGAAGACTCTTTAAAACGCAGACAGCTAGGACTGTCTCACTCCCAGAGTGTCTGATTTTGTAGGTGGAGTAGGGGGCCCAAGTATATGAATTTCTAACAATTTCTCAAGTGACATTGATTGCAGGGGTCCACACTTTGAGAACCACTGCCTAAAATAAAACTTAGATAATCAATCATTTTTCCCCCTCTTATGCCTTAGGAAGTGGTAAAGGTGATGATCCTCTATTACCAAATAAAACCCCCTGAAAGAATCATGTTTCTAACATTAGCCTTTAAATGAATAAATGGTACAGTCTGTAACGTGTTCTGATTGCACGGCTCCCCCACAGCTCACTCTGGGACTCAGTCTTAATAAAATCAAGAAAACCCTGGGGTGGCCTGTTCCGCAGGTAAAACACTTTTTGACCATCTTAAACTTTACATGTGTGTGGCAGGGACTGGGATGGATTGATTGATTTTTTTGCCCACTCATTGCTCTCCCAATGTTCTATCTTAAAAGTAAACAATCTCTTTCTGGATTGGGTGACTTCAGAGAACTACCCACTCTTCCCCATTTCTTGTGAGATAGGCTCCGAAGCTCAAATGCTGGCTACGTTTCCTTCCAAATCACTATCTTCTCACAGCTCTTTCAATTTCTTTGTGTTATGTAAGAAAGAAAGTGCCTTTGCCTGTGCCGCCTTTTTACTACGTGTTAAAATTCATTTTAATAAGCACAAGTATCCACTGGCATCTGAGAGGAAGAGATATGCCCAAAGTAACCCAGGGAGCTGAGCTCTAGGATGGTCTGCCAGGGTACATCGTAATTATTCAAAACCACAAATCTCGAAATCTCAGAGGGATAGAAAACTGTGGGAAAGGGTGAGAGAATGTGTTGTATCTTCCTTTTTAAACTTTGGTCAATTTGCTAAATAAAATAAATCATTTAGCTTTTACATTCACAAGGTGTAAATGCATAATGAAGTTTATATGTGATTTAACCATTAACCTTTAAAATAACAGTGGAATTTAAAGTACAGTGCAAAGGTAAATTATCAGTATCATCCTAGCTTATTTGCTTCACGATCTTAGGTATATCATGTATAGTTCAATTTTCAAACTGTTTAAGTGAAAATAGTACCATTACACTAAAGAAATAGGATAGTTTTCCAGAACCCTGAAGTATGGGTCAGTATCATCCTATTAATCTCAAGTTTTAGATTGCTCCCTTGGACACTATCATTTTGTAAAAAGTCTTGGAAAGTATTTTAAATTTTGCCTTTTATTTTCTAGGCTTTTTACTTATAATTCATCCTAAAAGTTAACTCCATTAAATCATGATCTAAGACTACTTTCTAACTATAGTTTTGCCGCTCAGTAGCTGAGAGGACAAAGAACAAATAAACTGAAGGGCACTTTCTGTGACACTTTATCAAAATAATGACAAACTAAATTTATCCAGATGAAATTTCAGTTTGAAAGTTCTTGGCAATTTAGGCCGGGTGTGGTGGCTCACACCTGTAATCTCACCACTCTGGGAGGCCGAGGCGGGCGGATCACAAGGTCGGGAGTTCAAGACCAGCCTGACCAACATGGTGAAACCTCGCCTCTACTAAAAATACAAAAATCAGCTGGCATGGTGTGGTGCGCCTGTAATCCCAGCTATTCAGGAGGCTGTGGCAGGAGAATCGCTTGAACCTGGGGGGTAGAGGTTGCAGTGAGGTGAGATCGTGCCACTGTACTCCAGCCTGGGCAACAGAGCGAGACTGTGTCTCAAAAAAAAAGAAAAGAAAGTTCTCAGAAATTTAAACACTCAAGGAACAAAGGGAACCAGAAATAAGAAACACTGTTCCTTCTAAAAACGATTTTCCAGAAAAATCTCAAGCAAGCAAATTCTCAAACTAAAATGTCAAGAAAACCTTTGGAGCCTTAATTTAACTTAATTTAGCTATTTAAAAGAAATATTAAGGACAAAAGCACAATTGTATTTGGGCTTCTTAATATTTCAGTTTCTGAAATAATGTTTATACATTATTTATATTTATACATCAAAAACAATCTGGCATTAAAACACCACAACACTCACTGGGCTTGATATTTCAGTTTCAGCTGAAACAATGTTTATAATTTTTTTTGACTAGTAATAAGTTCTAAGAAACGACTAGAAAAAAATTCTAGGAAACTAGTGCTAAAAACAAGTTAATGATTATGATGAAAATGAGTATTGCACAATAGTCATTCTCCAACAACAATCTGGCATTAAACACTGAAGCACTCACTGCGAAAATGTCTAGGATCTGATGCAATCACCTACTTAATTCTAATTAAAGGAATTTCACAAACATATCAATATTGAACTCATAAGATTTTATTATATATCTTAATAGCTACTGTGCACAAAACATTTTTTACCAAATGAATTTTTAGAAAAGTAATTTCAGCCTTAATGCAGATTTTTGGGATAAAATCAAATGCAAAAAGGTCTCCATACCTCGAAGTTCAAAAATTTCCTTGTCTTTTCTAATAGCTTGGTGTAAAACAGACCTATTTTTAGGACAAATCTGGCTCAGTCTCTCACTTAGGAATCCTTAAATAATAAATATTACTATACAGTATATATTTATTTATCCTGGCATTATTAAAACTTCTTATGTATCTAAGAACTATGCTTAATTATGCTGACATAATTCTTGTGACTGTGTTTAATAAAGATATTAATAAAGATAAAAGTCAAAAGCTGATAGCTTAGGATACCAAACTACTGGGATAATAAATGTTGACAGTTATAAAGGAATATTAAAATTTTAAATCACTTCGCTTTTTAAAAAGTTCCCTTTTCTACTCAGTCTGAGGAAAATATCAAGTCATGAAAACATCTAAGTATGTTTGCAACACTGGACACTGAGAGTCCTAAGGATGACAAACTTTCTGCATTCAGATGTAACACAGAATTATCTCTTCCTGTGAAATCAGTTCACAGGAAAGTAGGTATACACTGAACAATGGCTATTAAACATCAATGCTTTAAAAATCGATAGCAAGATACCCATGATCATTACTTCAATGCACAGACTAAAAGAGTAAAAAAATACTCACTCATATAGCGGAAAGTCTCTTCAGCAAGGACTGGAGAGAGTGCATCAGATGCATGTTGCTGCTGGTGTGGAGACTGAGTCCAGTCTTGATTTTCATATAGAAAGAGAGTGTCTACTTTTAGCCTATACTGTGGTAGTTGTTCTTCTAGCAGACTCACCAGCTCAACTTCAGGGAGATCCTCATTGGAGCAGACATCTGAAGAGGAGAGTCTATGTAAATGAATCCAATATATTTCAACTTTTACTAGGCTACAAATTATGAAAATTAGTTTTTCTAAAGTAGGACAACCAAAGAAATACTAGACAAGATCATTTCTCCACTGATTTTTATTAGTATATCCTAGTAGTATAGTGTTTTTCTCTTTTAGTAAGAGAACTTCTAAAGCAAAAATGATGGCATACATTTTTTTGACAGTAATTTTTAAGAAGTATTTTTAATTGACACAAAATAATTGGATATATTTATGGGGTACATGTGATATTTTGACACCGGTATACAATATATAATGATCAAATCAAGGTAATTAGCACATTCCTTACCTCAAGCATTTATCATTTCTTTGCATTGAGGACATTCAAAATCCTACCTTTTATCTGTTTGAAAATATACAACAAATTATTGCCAAGTATAGCCACCCTATGGTGCTAAAGAACACTGGAACTTATTCCACCTATCCAGCTGTAATTTTGTATCTGTTAACCAACATCTCCTGATCCCTCCTTCCTGCTACCCTTCCTAGCCTCTAGTAATCACTATTCTACTCTCTACTTCTAGATCAACTTTGTCAGCTTCCACATGAGTGAGAACATGCAGATACCACAAATCTGAATTATATACTATCTAAATATATTGCTTAGTGACTATAACTATGTTTTTTTTATTTTTAATTTTTTAATTTTTAAATTTTAGGTTCAGGGGTACATGTGCAGGTTTGTTATATAGGTAAACTCATGTCATGGGGGTTTGTGGTACAGATTATTTTGTCACCCAGGTACTAGGCCTAGTAACCCAACAGTTATTTTTTCTGATCCTCTCCCTCTTCCCATCCTCATCCCTCACATACGCCCGTCTGTTGTTCCTGTCTTTATAACTATGCTTTTAAAGTTTAGAATTAATTTGTAGAAATTTCATATTTTCTTCCTATCAACCTATTTAGTACTGTTTAAAAGAGGTCTATGTCTCTGAAGCAGCGGCAGGCTGCTTAATTTTTAAACAGTATTTTTAACTGACACAAAATAATTGGATATATACTTTCTAAAAACAAAGTGAAAAGGGTCTGATCTCAACTTACAAGCTTGGGGGAAAAAGCAATACAAAGCAACCAGCAGAAAATAGTTTCAAAGGGATAAAATGATATGCTCTTTAATAACAAAATTTGAATTCTGTGGATGATTCTTCAAAATCTGGAAAAATTACATTTTAGTATATTCTCATAGTCACTAAATGTTTTTAAAAATTGCATTAAATTTTACTGAGCACTGGCACTGAAATAAGTACTTTATCATTTTTATTTTAAAGAAATGGTACATCTAAATCTCAAAACATGTGAGGTGAAGAAAATCGGAAAGGGGAGGGAAAAAAAAGTTTCCTCTAAAAAATCTTCTCTATCCTTCACATAACATAAATTTAATATGGTATAGCGATAGTTCTGGTCTGAGTCCTGACTCTACACATACCACAATGTGACACTGGGTAAGTTACCTCAATTCTAACCCTCAGTTTCCTCATCTGTAAAATGGAGAAGGTACTTACCTCCTAGGTTACATGAATTAAATGAGACAAATGCATGAAAAATACTAGCATTTAGTACAATGCCTTGCACACCGTGGAGGCACTCTATCAATGTCAGCTTCTTTTTTTTTTATTTTTAGAGAAGTAAAGTTTATTACATTTGAAACAATACAGCAGAAATCTCAAAAGTTTACCCATTAAATACAGTTTAATTCTTACAAATCTCCTTTTGAAAATGCAATTCACCGTGTTAGCCAGAAACTAGCCGGGCGAGGTGGTAGGCGCCTGTAGCCCCAGCTACTCCGGAGACTGAGGCAGGAGGATGGCATAAACCCGGGAGGCGGAGCTTGCAGTGAGCTGAGATTAGGCCACTGCACTCCAGCCTGGGTGACAGAGCGAGACTCTGTCTCAACAACAACAACAACAAAAAAAAAAAAAAAAAAAAAAAAAAAGAAAACGCAATTCATATATGCTGCAACCTCAGAAGTTTGAATTTGAAATGAAATATGAAGTTAGTAGTCAGGGAAGTCACATCAGAGTGCTTTGTCAAATATCCAAACAAATCAGCATATACCAAAGTGATTCTAAATATATCCAAGTGAATGCAGAAAAATACATTACCATTTGAGGCAGACCATGCTAAAATATAATTTACAATGATTAGTTTACATTTAAGATGGTTAGCCAATCAAATGTAGGTTAAGTTAAATTTTGTAGTATTTGCTCAGTCTCTTTGTACTAAACATTAGTTCATCTGAAAAGTAAGTTTGGAAAAAGTAAATAACCTGATCTCTTTATGCTTATCATTTTCTCACTGTCATCTTAAATGGAAGCAAATCAATACAGCATCAAGATTTTTCACATATTAAAATGAACACTAACGACTTGTGAAGGTAGACTGTGTACCATGTAGTACTTAATAGATGAGCTTGCAATGACCATCAACTCAATTTTTTAAATAACACAAAGATTCACAAGCCAAAATAAACATCTGATTAAAAAATTCAGCTACTCAAGGTAACTCAGTTGTCCTTTTTCTCTTTGAGATTGGGAAGGGTTGGGTCTTTAAAAACCTGAAGAGGAGTTGGTAAGAGAACAAAATCCTCAATGCTTTAAAAAAACTCAACTGGGCCGGGCGCGGTGGCTCAAGCCTGTAATCCCAGCACTTTGGGAGGCCGAGACGGCAGATCACGAGGTCAGAAGATCGAGACCATCCTGGCTAACACGGTGGAACCCCGTCTCTACTAAAAAATACAAAAAATTAGCCGGGCGTGGTGGCGGCGCCTGTAGTCCCAGCTACTCGGGAGGCTGAGGCAGGAGAATGGCATAAATCCGGGAGGTGGAGCTTGCAGTGAGCTGAGATCCGGCCACTGCACTCCAGCCTGGGCGACACAGCAAGACTCCGTCTCAAAAAAAAAAAAAAAAAAAAAAAAAAAAACTCAACTGGTTAGAAGTCCATATAACTACTATGCTGGCATAGTATCTGTGACAGATGTTTTCTGTCACAGAACGATTCACTTTCCCATAGAAGTAATTCCTTCAAGCCAACTATATAAAGATGTAAATCAGTTCACCCATCAATAAAACTGAAATAATCCTTCACAATAGAAGGAAGACACCTTACCCAAAAAGATCTTTTAAATCACTGCTAGCTGAACTGCTATTGGTCATAGTAGTTGGTGGCTATGCAAAGTTCCGTGGGTTGAAGAAAGGATTACCCTGCGTACCAAAGGCAGATTGTCCTATCAAGTTCATCTGTGTTCCCATTACTGAATGCCCATAGCTGCAGAACCTTGAGGAGGTACAAACTGATTGAGCCACTGATTTGGTTTCTGTTGTGATAACTGGTTCATGCTAACTTTGGGTTTCTGAGGGCCAAAGAGATTATTAAGGGCAGACATATCTGTGGGTCTTTGTTGGGTCGGCTTTGCACCAGCAGGAGGAATATTCAAAGCACTGAAGTTTGGCAAAGTGGGAGGTGTTCCAGAGTCATCTTGGTCACTCCAACTGTGCTTGGACTACTGTAGAAGTTCTGGTTTGTAGTAACAGGCATGTTGAATCCTGAAGTCTGAAAGCCCATATTGGCATTTAGGCCATTTGTCAAATTTTTCTTTGTATTATCAACTGGTATAGAAAACATCATGCCAATGCCCATGAAAGGAAGAGAAGTGAAAGTACTTGAAGCAGAAGGTTTAGGGGTACTAACAGAAAGGCTAGTCGAAGATGACATATTATCCATCAATGTGCCTGTCAAGTCATTACTCTGTTTAACAGTAGCAATAGGTGTCTGCATTGGGGTTTAAGAGGCTGCTGGCTTTTCAACTTCTGTGCCTGCTCTTGTTCTTTTGCTAATTTTTGTTTTTCTTCAAATGTAAGTGATGCTGTTTTACGTTTATTCTGTAACCCATCCTCTTTATTTTTGGAATCACTGCCAGTCAGAAGGTCTGCTCTAATGTGGTTAACAACCTTGTCAATTTGCTGATTCAAAATATTTGTAACTTTTGTCTCCCCAGAAACATTAATTTGATTTCCCAAGTCCAAAGATTTCTGCTGTTCTTGCATTATATGAAGTTGTTTCAGCTTAGTCTTATGTTCAGACTCCAATCTATTAAGCATCTCTTTTATGATGGAAATGAAATAATTGAACTGATTAAGATTGTTTTCAATACTCAGGGGAATAAGATGAGGCAATACTTATCCAGCCAGCTGCTCTTTGGTGATTCCCAACTTATGAGTAAAAGTACATTTGTAAATGCCTAAAATACCCATGAAGACTGCAGATTCTTTGGATGAAATTTGTTGTAAGAAGGGTAGGATATCATCAAGTACAAACCACTTATCCAAGTATTCCAAAATCTTTCATAAGCACACTAATGAATTTACACAAACAGCAAGGGAAGACATTTGTAGACAGGCATTTTAATTCTTGGTATCAAAGTATGTTTCATGGATGGGTAGTCTATAAGATTTGCAGAGGCTGGAATGATGTTTAGACAGAGCTCCTGGGTCTGAATGGAAGGAGCTTCTAGTGCTCTGTAAACCATGGGTAGAACACTGTTCTTTATCTCATCGGGAGGGGTTTGGTTAGTAGCAAATCCATTTTTTGTCGGAAAATTATCAAAATCTGGATTGGCTCCTGCTGCTTAAACACAGGACCAAGTTCAGGTGGAATTAATTTGACATATTCTTCTTTGGTGCATTCCTCAATGATCAGTAGAACACTGGGCAAAACAAAAGGTACCATGTCAGGGTTTACAAATTCTGAAGTCAAACAAGTCAAAATTCTCTGCACAATGACATGCTTAGGCAGTAGAACCTTTGACAGTCTGTTGAAAAACTGTGATTTCCGAAGATAATCTTTGGAATAAGGTATTAAAACATTGCAGTGTTATTGCACCAACATCATCAAAGAAGGAAATCTGTCATTTGATCCACATCTGGTCTTAGAGTTGGAGTTACATTTAACAGTAGCTTTACATGTTCACGAACTTCCTCAGGTATATTTGTAAGTGAACTAGATCCTAAATAACTCAACTGATCCAACTGCCTACTGAAACTCTTGTAAATATCTTGCTTATTGATTTCAAATATAGGTTTCCTTTTATTAAATACAGCATACATAACAGTTCCTAAAGAATACAAATCACTGGCTGTTTCACAGTTCACATAAAGTATGTATTCAGGAGCCAAATATTCAGGATTTGGAAGATACAATGAAGGTAAATTTGGGTCCCATTCTTTACAAGAAAATTTAGGCTCTTGTTCAGAAGGATTAGTTGATGATACACAAAAATCAAAACCCATTATTTTCCAGGCTCCACTTTTATTCACAATTGTATTTTCAGGAGTAATATTTCCATGTACCATTTTCACACTGCTATGCAAGAATGACAAGCCTTCTGAAGCAAACCACATTTGGTTTCTACATCATAAAGTTTATAATCCTTAATGTCTGGAGACATAGGGAAAGGTAGATTTTCCCAGTTACCAAGAACACTGGCTACACTGGCAAAAACTGGTTCTGTACAAAATGCCAAAGAATCCCTGGATTCTTCTAAAGGATGCTGGACGGTAAGAAGTCGAGGGTGTTGAAGTCGAGTTAAGTGTTGGACTCCTCGTTTTAGAGAATCGATGATTTGATCCTTTTCAAATTTTTGATATTTGTCAATCATTTTTTATCAAAGACAAAAACAGCCACTACTTTGTTGACTTTTTTGTGCCATTAAAAATCTCCCAAGCTAGCCCACTGCCACCACTGGCAATGTGTCGACCAACATCAAATTCTCTAGTGACAGGATTTCTCATTACAGCACTAGTGACATCAGCTGTTACTTTTGTAACAGTATGCTTCAATTTATTACCACATGGACTCCATGGCTGCAATATTGGGCAGTCATAGTTACCTTTTCCCTCTCCTTCCAGGAGGGGCGGAGCTGGGGCTCTTTCTCCCCGCCCCCCTAAACACAGGCGGTTCCTGCTCTGCTTTCGCACCTGGCAGCTGCCTCCTGCTTACTCCATCGCCTCCACCACCCCCACGGGCACAAACAGAGCACAAACACTGCCTGAGCTGGATGAGAGAAAGGGGTAGGGAGGGGAGGGACTGGGGACAGAGACTAAGGGAGGGCGAAAAAGACTGAAAGACCTATTGTCAGCTACTTTTATTACTGTATTACTACTGAGTTTTTAGACCTAGAGATCAAATGAAGATTGCTAAAATAAGGTTGCTATAGTATCTAAATAATTACAGAGTATTAAAGGTACCATTTAAAGAAACCATCCAATCCTGCCTCCTAGATAAGGAAACTGAGACTTAAAGATGGGTAACTTGCCGAGTTACAGAACCACCAGACGTGTGTCTTGACTTCCTATCCAGCACTGTACCCATTCTTGTTGCTATCTGCCATTTACAGGACAAAGGCTGACAACTTGTCCTAGAAAGCAAGTTCCTACACATCATGTCTCCAACATACAGTATTAGTCCTACATATCTCCTAATTCCTCCAGGTGTCTAATCTACTTATTGTCTTATTTTTCATTCTTAATATTAGAAAGATCCTGGGTTTTGGCATCAGACGTAGCTTCTGAATGTGACTCCTCTACTAATTAAGTTAGACACACGATTTATCCTTTCAGAGCCTTAATTTCTCTCATTTGTAAAATAAAGATCATTTATCACTCACAACAGTAGTAAGAAGTAACTAAAATAAGCAATTAAGGCACCCAGGGTATCTGGCAGATCATAGGTACTCACTGAATACTATTTACATCATTACTCTCTCACTTGCACACCTACAACACCCACCCCCCATCTCTGAACAAAACTGGGCTTTTGTGTCTTTATGTATCTGCCACTATCTTCCTGTTCCCAGTACTGCCCATCATTTAACACCTCCCAAACTTAGCTGTTTACAAAAAAGGAGAGTTATTCCTGTTAACATGCTTAAAATACTAGGGCTTAAAATAGAGAAAATACAGGATGTCATGTCAGCCCTCTCACTTTTAAAGAGACGTGGTATTTCCTTTGTGGGTAGTATAATGAAACATGCTCTAGCTCTGGCAAAGAACAACAAAGTACTGGTTAAGAACACAAATCCTTAAGAGAGTAAATTCCTACTACTTGACCTTGACTTAACAATGACATTTTAATAAGTTAAATACAAGGAGGCTGGCAATATCAGACATCCCTATTCACCCAGAAGGAGAAGCAGTGGCTTGATCATCACAATGAGACAGAGATGAGGTAGATTTAAAACCTTAAATATGGTTCTAAATAAGCTCTCAATCCTTACAGAGCTCTTAAATAAGAGACCTGAACATATATCCAAATTCTATTATTACAAGTTCCATGTGATTATCCGAATTTTTCCTGCTGCACATATATTACATATAGATTGTCATTTTAATACTCAGAAAGAGAAGTTGACTATAAATACATGCAGCGCTAAAAACAGACTATTAGGTATTCAAGGGTATAGTGGAAATGAAGAACAAAAGTGACATTCATTACAAGAGATACTAGTCCCTAGACATTTTCTTCAAATAGGTATTAATGAAATCCTGTGAAAATTCAAGGTCATGAATTCCCTACTTCCAAAATGTAATATTAAAAATGAGTGTACAATCCAGGCTTAGTAGATTAAGCTAAATATTCTTTAGACTAGCTCTTTCACCTTGCTTCCATATTCTGATAATGTTCCATTTATTACTCTTGCCCAGGCTTGACAACTCCTTCTCTACCATTTTATCCTCCAAATGTCTCTTCCATATGTCCATTTTTTTCCAGTCATGCCTACTGGTAAGAGAATTAAATCAGTGCTAGAATCAAGCATACCAGAGCATGGTCTACAGTATGATCTTTAGACCCACATAGCAAAGATTAAAAACAAGCCTCAAAGGGTTAACCTTATCAGCAAATAACTTAAAGACCTGCCAAAACAAATTTTAACACTTTTCCAAGGAAGACAACAAAATCCAAACACTTAACAATGTAACATTCATAATGTTCACCAGTCCATAAAAAATTACTAGATATGCGAAAATAAATAAAATGTAATCCATAACCAGGAGGGAAATGAGTCAACAGAAACAGACCCGTCACGAGGTCAGGAGATTGAGACCATCCTGGCTAACACAATGAAACCCCGTCTCTACTAAAAATACAAAAAAATTAGCCGGGCGTGGTGGCGGCGCCTGTAGTCCCAGCTAATAGGGAGGCTGAGGCAGGAGAATGGCGGGAACCCGGGAGGCGGAGCTTGCAGTGAGCCGAGATCGCGCCACTGCACTCCAGCCTGGGCGACAGAGCGAGAACTCCGCCTCAAAAAAAAAAAAAAAGACATAACAGAATTAGTAAGCAGCATTTAAACACAGCTATTAAAAAAAATGCTCAAAAATTTAAAAGGAAAACAGTAACTTAATGAGAAAAAAAAAAGAAGATATACCTGTATTTTAAAAACTCAAATAGAACTAAAAAAAAAAATCTAAAATAAAAAATTCACTAGATAAGATAAACAGATTAGAAAAAAACCAGAAGAAAAGAACAGTAAACTTGAAGATATAGCAGTAGAAAAAAAATAAAATGAAGCAGAGAAAAAAAAGATTAGGGGTAAAAAACTAAAAAAAACATCAGTGGCTGTGTCATATTAAGTAGTCTGCAGTCCCAGAAGAAAAAAGAGGCAAGAACAGAAAAAATATTTGAAAAAGTGGCGGCCAAATTCTTCCAAGTTTAATTAAAACAATTAAGCCTATAGTTAACAGAAAAAAAAATCCATGCAGGATAAATACAAAGAAAACCACATCAAAGTAAAAAAAAAAAAAACCAGTGACAAAGAAAAAAATCCTACAAGCAGAGAGATAAAAAAAAAAAAGACACATTACATTTAAGGGAACAAAGAGTGAATGCAAACTATTCATTTCAAGATAGATGGATGACAATGGAACAGCATCATTAAAAAAAAAGGACAAAAAGCCAATTTAGAATCTTGTGCTAGTGAAAAATAAAAAAAAAAAAAGGTGAAATAGGCCAGGCGTGGTAGCTCACTCCTGTAATCCCAGCTCTTTGGGAGGTCAAAGTGAAAGGACTGCGTGAGCCCAGGATTTCAAGACCAGCTTGGCAACATAGTGAAACCCTGACTCTACATTAAAAAAAAAAAAATATAAAAAAAAAAAGAAAGAAAAAAATTAGCTGGGTTAAAAAAAGCATGCCTGTGGTCCAAGCTACTCAGGAGGCTGAGATGGGAGGATCACTTGAGCCCAGGAGGTGCAGGCTGCAGTGAGCCATGATCATGAAAAAAAACTCCAGCCTGGGGAACAGAATGAGATCCATTCTCAAGAAAAAAAAAAAAAGAAATTTTATTTCTTACACAAGCAGAAACCTAAGGCTAAAAAAAACCAGCCAACCCATATCCCAGGAAATGTTAAAGTTATTCAGGAAAAAAACATATTGGATGGGAACTTCAATCTACCAAAGAAATAACAGAAAAAAAAATCTGTGGGTAATACATAAGCCTTTTATTTTCATAATTTATAAAAAAAATAATTAGCAATTTAAAGCAAAAGTAATAATGTATTATGTAAAAAAAATATGTAGATGTAAAAGGCATAATAATAATATGTAGAATGGCAAAAAAAAATGGAAGAATACTGTTTTAAGAGTGTCACTGTATTAAATATAATGTTATTTGAAGATGGGCTTTGGTAAGTTAAAGGTGCGTATTGCAACCTAGAGAAAACACTGAGAAAAATAAGAGGTATAGCTAATATGTCAAAAAAAAAATTAAAATAAAAATAATAAATTTAAAAAAAGAAAATGAGAAAAAAAAAGAAGATGGAACAAATAGAAAAACAGAAAATAGGAGTACAGTAAAAAAAACTAAAGTGATAATTACATTAAAATTAAATGGTCCAAATACAAAAAAAAGAAAGTACAGATGATCAGACTGGATTTTCTTTTTAGAAAAGACCCAACTATAAGTTATCTGTGGAGATGCCCTTTAAATGTAAAGATTAAAAAAAGTTTAAAAAGTAAAAACATGAAAAATAATGTGATGCCAATTAAAAAAAAACTTTTTCCAAACACAGAGGAAGGCATACTTCACAACTCATTTTACAAGGCCAGTATTACCTCAATATCAAAATAAAGCAAAGACATTAAAAAAAAAAAAAAAAAGAAAAAAGTACAAATCAATAATCCTTATTAAAAAAAAAAGGAAGGACACAGACACACACACACTCCCTAACAAAACACTAAAAAAAAAAACCTGTCATATATAAAAAAGATAATATATCATAACCAAGTAGTTTTTTCCAGGAATGCAAGTCTGGTTTAAAATTCAAAACTAAACCAACAGAATTCACCACACTAATAGACAAAGGTAGAAAAACCATATGAAAAAAAAAACAGATGCAAAATAGCCATTTGACAAAATTCATGCTAAAAACTTTTCATCCAATTTGGAAGAGAAGGATATCTTCTCAATTTAATATACAAAAAAATCAAGAGACTTAATGGTCAAATACTGTAACTTTTCTCCTCAAAAAAAAAATATGTCAAGAATGTTTATTATTACCATTTTATTCAACAAAAAAAAAAGATCGTGTCTCATTCAATAAGGCAAGAAAAATAAATAAAAAAAAAAAAGATTGAAAAAGAATATGCAAAACTGTCTCTATTTGCAGACATTATGGTGTATGTAGAAAACTCTAAGAAATCTACCAAAAAGTTACTAAAAAAAATAAGTTAAGCAAAGTTGCAGAATGCACGGTCAACATTAAAAAAAAAAATTTCATTTCTTTATAGTAGTAACACACAGTAGGAGAATGAAAAAAAAAAAACAGTGCCATTTAAAAAATACTTAAGACTAAATTTAACAAAAAAAAGCAAGACTTATGCAATAAAAACTATAAAATATTGTTAAGAGAAAAAAAAGAGGACCTAACTAAGTAAATGGAGAGATATATCAAGTTTAAAAAAAAGGAGACTCACTATTCTCAAATTATCAATTCTCTACAGAGTAAAAAAAATTCCATTCAAAAGTCCAGCATTCTTTTTTGAAAGAAAATGAAAAAAAAGTTATTATTATTAGGGACAGGGTCTCTCATTCTGTTATTCAGGCTGGAGTGCAATGGCACAATCATAGCTCACTGCAGCCTTAATCTCCAAAAAAAAAGTTATCCTCCTGCCTCAGCTTCCCTAGTAGCTGGGACTAAAAAAAAATGCCACCACGCCCAGCTAGTTGTCCAGGCTGCTCTTGAACAAAAAAACTCAAGTGTTGACAAGCAGATTAAACAATTTATATAAAAAAAAAAAAAAATCTTAAATGGCCAAAATAATTTTTGAAAAAGAGTAAAGTTGGAGAATTTGTATTGTCTGATTTCAAGATTTACTATAGAATTACAGTAAAAAAAACAACGTGGTATTTCTGTAAAGACAGACTTAGGGATTAAAGGAACAGGATAGAGTTCAGAAACAGAAACCATACATATATGACTAGGTGAAAAAAAGTGAAATTATCAAGGTATTTCAATAAGGGTAAAGAGACCATAAAAAAAAAATGGTAAAGAAACAATGAAATATCCAATTGGAAAGCAAAAAAAAAAAATTTGGACCCTAATCTAATTCCATACTCAAAAAAGTAGACAAAAAAATTAAAAGTAGAGGTAAAAACAGTCAAACTTTTTCTTTTATGAAAAAAATTCTTAGAAACGACACAAAAATACGAATTATAGTAGCAAAAAAAAAAAAACTCCATCAAAATTTAAAATAGGTCTTCAAAAGACACCAGAAAAAAAATGAAAAGGCAAGCCAAAGTCTGGGAGAAAATACGGTCCATTTATCTAACAAAGGACTTACATCTAGAACATGTAAAGAACACTTACAAAAAAAAATTTACATTTCAATAGTAAGATAAAATTTTAGCGGGCAAATGATTTGAATAAACAACTCAAAATAAAATCTAGGTATGGCTAATAAGCACATGAAAAGGTGCTCAACATCATGAGTCATCAGGAAAATATAAATTAAAAAAAAAAAGATACCAGTACACACCTACTAGAATGGCTAAAATCAAAACCACTGACATTACCAAGTGTTGATGATGTACAGCAGAGGTCAGCAAACGAAAAAAAACAGGCCAACTTCAGCTTGCTGCCCCTGCCTGGTTTTGTAAAAAAAAATTTATTGAAACACAGTCACATTCATTTTTTCATGTACTGTCCATGGCTGCTTTTCTGCTGCAATAGCAGAGATGAGTTAAGTTCCAGCTTAGCAATAAAAAGAATAAACTTCTGATACTTATCACAAGTGGATAAATCTCAAAAACATTTTGCTGTACAAAAGAAGGCAGACACAAAAGAGACACAAAAAAATTATATGAAATTCTAGAACAAGCAAATTTAATTTAAAGTGGAAAAAAACAGATTAGTGGTTGTTTGGAACCGGAGGTGAGGGGTGGGGAGATCTGTATACAAGGGAACTTTCTCTGGGATGATAAAAGCTTCTCGAACTTGTTTGTACTGGCGGTTACACTGAGTGGATATTTTTGTTAAAACTCAAAAAAAACACTTAAAATGAGTGTATTTTCTTGTATCTTAATAAACATAAAAAAATGAGGATAAATTAAAAAAAATTTTGGGTTTTGACGGGTTTCAGAATTCAGAATTTTTCAGATTTTTAGAAAAGTGGCACTGTACATTAACTGCATGTTATATAACATCCCCAGCTGGTTTTGCGGCAGCACCTCATAAAAAAAAACATAAATAAATCTTCGGCAAATATAAGTATTCAAACTAAAAAAAAAAAGTCCAGAAACAGCCAAAGTCTGGTTTCGTGGGCAAATGAGAAAAAAAATAAAAGTATAGAAAAAAACTTTTGAGTGCTCAGAGTTTTTAAAAAAAGTCTTACAGATAAGGTGTTATGGGCCTATATGTATGTTTGTAAAAAAATGTACGCCCCAAGAGTCTTGTGTGCCAGGCACTGCTGTTAGAAAAAAACAGGGTATACAAACACGGGTAACTCTGTCCTTGCCCTGTGGAGATCAGATGGATATGATGCAGCTACTACTCACCAGGTGTTCACAGGGAAAAAAAGAGTCCGACATAGACAAGAAACAATATGAAAGACAGATTGCAAAAAAAGTGTCAGGAGACACAGGGGATGCGAGATTAATTCAGTCTTTCCCTGAGGACATCAGACTAGAAAGGAGGCTTGGGTTTCATCATGATAGAAAAAAAATGCTGGACTGAGGCATTTGCATTTTCTCCCGTAAGCGACAAAAAAAAAATATTTATTAAACTGGACTTACCAGTGATGCTCTCCGAGTCTCTGTGACTGCTATTCATGAGGTTTTCTTCACCTGTTGGTGATGTAAAAAAAAAATTCTGGGATTGACTCATGCAGGATCCTTTCTTGCTTTGGTTGAGAAGGACAGCTTTGGTATGAATCAGAGTAAAGGAAATCCATCAAGCCATTCAATAATGAAATGGATTTGGTCACATGGATATTTTCTTTTGGAAAAAAAATCTCTGATGAATCAAAAGACATCCATAGCAATGAGCACTCTCATGTGATTATCATACTTTGGAGAGTCATGACCTAAAACAAAAATATAAAAAAAAACTAGAACAACATGCTCTTTAACAACAGGAATCTAATTAATAAAAAAATCTGTCATGAAAAATGTTTTTCTAATGATACATACAACATGGATAAATCTCATAATTACGCTGGAAGAAAGTCAGACAAAAAAAGAGTACACAGTTTATAACTTCATTTATATAAAATTCTAGAAAATGTCCACTTATCTATAGTGACAGCACATCAGTGGCTGCCTGGAGTTAAGGGAGGAATTACTAAGGGGCAGGAGAAAAGTTTTTGGAATGATGAATATGTTCATTATAAAAAAAGTGGTGATGGTTTTACAAATGCATATCAAAAGTGGTTAAATAAAAAAATTGAAATGTGTAATTTGATGCATGCTAATTATATTTAAACAAAAAAAATTAATTTTTTTAAAAGATAACTGTTTAAAGTAATACACTAAAAAAAAATTGTAGAGTCTATAACATAAGTAGAAGTAGAATGTTTTGCAGTAGCACGAAGGCCAGGAGTGGGGGAATGGGCATACACTGGTGTAAGGAAAAAAAATTACACATGAAATAGTAACATATGGCTTGAAGATATACTGAAAAAAATTAAAGAAGTATACTATAAACCTGAAACCAACCAATTAAAAAACTCAAGAATTACAGATAATAAACCAATGAAGAAGATGAAATGGAATAAAAAAAAACAGGGTTTTTTAATCCTGGAAAATTAACATTTTGGGCCAAAAAAAACTTCGTCGTGTGCATTGTAGGATCTTTTACCCACTAAGTGCCAGCGGAATCCCTTCCCCAGACCCTCTCCAGTTTTATCCAAAATGTCTCCAGACATTGCCAGATGCCCCCAGCAGGCTGGGGGGAGGGGGTGCAAAAAAAAAACCTGGTTGAGAACCACTGATACAACAGATGCTCAACTTCACAAAAAAATAAAACAAAAATATAAACAAAAAAAAGTTCACCACTAGATTAAAAAAAATCAAGTTTTATTATATTCTTTGCTGGAGATGGTGTAGAGAAAGAAGCACTCTTAAACCCTGTTGATAAAAGTGCAAATTGGGGCTGCGCATGGTGACTCACGCCTGTAATCTCAGCACCTTGGGAGGCTGAGGCGGAAAAAAACTTGAGGTCAGGGGTTCCAGACCAACCTGGCCAACATGGTGAAAAAAAGTCTCTACTACAAATACAAAAATTAGCTGGGTGTGGTGGCAAAAAAAAGTAATCCCAGCTACTTGGGAGGCTGAAGCAGGAGAATTGCTAAAAAAAGGGAGGCGGAGGTTGCAGTGAGCCGAGATTGCGCCACTGCAAAAAAAACTGGGTGACAGAGCAAGACTCTATCTCAAAAAAAAAAAAAAAAAAAAAGGTATAAAGGGTACAAGCTTTCAGAAGGCTATTTGGCAATGAAAAAAAAACTTTTAAATGCACACATGTTGTAACTTAGCAGCTCTACCAAAAAAAATTTACACAATGGATATACTCAAGAAGTGTGCCAAGATGTAAAAAAAAGGATGCCCATACAGTATTGGTTTGGGGGGGAAAAAAAAGCAAAAAAAACACAACTGGAACTAAACATCTATAAATAAATAGTTTAATAAAAAAAAAACATACAAAGGAATGTAATGTACTAAGTATATGTGCATACTTAAAAAAATCAGGAACTGTCATCAGTAAAACTGTTCAATTCTACTTATAAAAAAACTATCAAGACAGTCTCTGGTTGGCAACGTGTGGCTTCCATGTATAGTTAATTCATTCTCATGTCTACTCTTCACAGGCATCATAAATATAAAAAAATTTACAAGAGAGTTATCCTCAAGAAGTAGAAAGGAATAAAGAAAAAAAAGGAGACTGAAAATGGTTACTGTGGCAGAATAGAGAAGCGCTTTGAGCAAATCCTAGGGAGGAGAGTTTCAGAGATAGAATGTGAACGGAAAAAAACATTATACAAAAGTCAAAGGGAAAATTTGGTTTATTAAAAAAGGGGTAAGGGACCATAAAATCAATGACAACTTTCCTGAAACCAGTTCAAAAAAAAGACTGGATGCAAAGATAGGCTGCAAGGTGTCAGGAAGTGAGATGGTAAGAGTGGCGTTCAGTGAGTACAGACCAGGATTTCCCAACACCTAGACTTTCAGATCTCCACAGATTAGTAAAACTTCAAACATTTCTGTGGTTATCGGCATGGGTTTTCCATTTCTTACCAATTTCTATTACTTGGTAAAAAAAAAAACATTTTATTAAAAAAAAAAAAGAGATATAATAAATAGAAAAAAATCCCAAAAAAGGAGTTTAGTAGAGATGGGGTTTAACCATGTTGGCCGAGTTGGTCTTGAACTCCTAACCTCAGGTGATCCACCTGCCTTGGCCTCCCAAAGTGCTGGGATTACAGGCGTGAGCCACTGTGCCCCACTAAAAAAAGCATTTTTTTTTTAAGCAATAAGTTATATATTTGTTTGTGAAGAGACAGAGACTGAAAAGGAATAGGATAAAAGCAAAGTATCTCTCATACTGGTCCACACTAATTCTCAAACAGAACTGCGGTTCTTTTAATCATATTATTGTTCCATGAAATTTTGTGGAATCATATTCCACGAAACCAGTCTTTGGTGGCAGAAAGGTTGGGGACCTCTGTTCTAGAAAACTGCTTTGCAAAAAAAATTTGGAGGTTTTGTTAATGGTTTAGTCTTAATTCTTGCATACCAGAATAGAGAAAACCAAGTTGAACTAAGAACTAAGTCCATCTAAAGAAAAAAACAGGAAAAACGCTGACTTCCAGGGTAATTCAGGAACCTGTCCAGCCTGCAGACTGTGCACTAGATCAAGGGTGATCTGGCAATGGTATGAAAAAAATGGGGACTTTTTAGATCTAAATAAGCCCTTTGAACATGCCCTGTCTACATGTGAGCTCCTCAGAAAGATCAGCTTGGAGCAGTACTGAACATAGTACCGTGGATGTGGCCTGACATTAGACAAGTCTGAATTTTAACAAAAAAAACTGCTTTTCTGACCTTGGGACCATTATTTAACATTTCTGAAAAAAAATCCTCATTTTCAAGGTGGGGATATTAGTAACTACCCTTTATAAAAAAAGTCAGACATGAGAACTAAATAAAAATGACAAATTCCTAGTTAAAAAAACAACATATAGTACACACTCAAATGCGCCCTCCTGTTAGTTTAAAAAAAGCTATCAGCCCTGAGAAAAAGATGATGTCTTCTGTCTAATAAAAAAAATTATTATTATTATTCTTTAAGTTCTAAGGTACATGTGCACAAAAAAAAGCCTTGTTACATATGTATACATGAGCCATGTTGGTGTGCTGAAAAAAATAACACGTCATTTACATTAAGTATTTCTCCTAATGTTATCCAAAAAAACTCCCCCACCCCATGACAGGTCCTGGTGTGTGGTGTTCCCCAAAAAAAATCCAAGTGTTCTCATTGTTCAATTCCCAACTATGAGTGAGAAAAAAAGGTGTTTGGTTTTCTGTCCTTGCGATAGTTTGCTCAGAATGAAAAAAACCAGCTTCATCCATGTCCCTACAAAGGACATGAACTCATCCAAAAAAAGGGCTGCATAGTATTCCATAGTGTATATGTGCCATATTTTCTTAATCCAGTCTGTCATTGATGGACATTTGGGTTGGTTCCAAGTCTTTGCTATCGTGAATAGTGCCACAATAAACATACGTGTGCATGTGTCTTTATAGCAGCATGATATATAATCCTTTGGATTTATGCCCAGTAAAGGGATGGCTGGGTCAAATGGTATTTCTAGTTCTAGATCCTTGAGGAATCACCACACAGTCTTCCACAATGGTTGAACTAGTTTACAGTCCCACCACCAGTGTAAAAAAATTCCTATTTCTCCATATCCTCTCCAGCACCTGTTGTTTCCTAAAAAAATTAATGATCACCATTCTAACTGGTGTGAGATGGTATCTCATAAAAAAATGCATTTCTCTGACGGCCAGTGATGATGAGCATTTTTTCATAAAAAAATTGGCTGCATAAGTGTCTTCTTTTGAGAAGTATCTGTTCATAAAAAAAGCCCACTTTTTGATGGGGTTGTTTGATTTTTTTCTTGTAAAAAAAAAAAAGTTCTTTGTGGATTCTGGATATTAGCCCTTTGTCAGATGAAAAAAATGCAAAAATTTTCTCCCATTCAGTAGGTTGCCTGTTCACTCAAAAAAAAGTTTCTTTTACTGTGCAGAAGCTCTTTAGTTTAATTAGATAAAAAAAGTCTATTTTGGCTTTTGTCGCCATTGCTTTTGGCATTTTAGAAAAAAAGTCCTTGCCCATGCCTATGTCCTGAATAGTATTACCTAGGTAAAAAAAAGGGGTTTTACGGTTTTAGGTCTAACATTTAAGTCTTTAATAAAAAAAGAATTAATTTTTGTATAAGATGTAAGGAAGGGATCCAACTTAAAAAAACTACATATGGCTAGCCAGTTTTCCCAGCACATTAACTTTCCAAAAAAATTGTTCTTGTCAGGTTTGTCAAAGATCAGATGG